AAAGCCTGGAATCTGGTCTCTCCTCCAGGTCCTCCCTGCCCCAGCCCCCTTGCAGTCTAATGCTGCAGAAGGGAGGGAGGAAGGGAGGGAAGGAGGTGCCACACTCAGCAGGCCTGAGATGTGGATGTCTCCTCCCAGTAGGCTAGCTGAACTAGGCCTGACTTGGGGTTGCTGTTATTTTAAGTTTCTTTAAATCAAAGCAAGGTAAGGAAAAGAGGGGTTGGGGTGGAGGAGCTTCCCCCAAACCCAAGAGAGTAAGGTGGTCCTGTGCTGAGGTGGGTTTGGGCTTCCAGCATGAAGAAGAGAGGCCCTAGAAAGTGGGCAGATGGCCATGGAGATGCATGCTTCTGGTCTCCTGAGAGTGCAGGCAGAAAGCAAGTAAGGCCTTGTTTGCAGAATCCTAAGAAAGAGAGGGAAGGAAGAGGGGTGTGGGGGGCTGGTTCAGAGCTGGGACACCCAATTTAGATACTCACTTGGGCTTGGTTGTCCTGGGTCTGGCGTTGCAGGAAAATGGTTAAAAAGGTTAAAAGGAATGGAAAAATACTGCCAGGGAAACAGGAAACAGGAAAATCCTGTCCAGTCTCCCAGCAACTGCATGGGTAGGGAAAGGAAGGGCGGGGGAGGGGTCCGCTGGTCCCCATCTGGGATAGAGAGACCAGGAGAAAGCCTGCTACACCCCAAAACCAAAGGGCATGTGCCAGGCTCAGGATATGGGGCAGTGAAGATGTCCCCACCTCCACTGTTTACTCCCCTGAAGGGAAGGAGGCAGTTTCCTGTTTTCCTGCCTGCCTTTTTGTCAATATTTTCCCCTTTATTCCCCTGTCTCAACTTTCCCAAGGTAGGGAGCACAGGAGTTCAGGTTGAGCCCTGGACTGTGGGAGAGACTTATAGCCAGGTATCCCTTTTTGTTCCTTCCTAAGGTGGGGGGTGGGTGGACCGCGAGAGCGCATCTTCCCCAGGTAGCGGGGTAAGGGGGGGCACTAAGGGCCAGCTCAGCCTTCTAGCCTGGGGGTGGACCCTTCCCCAGCGTTCCCTCAGTCCAGGTCTGTTTGTGACCCTCGTGGCAAGTTACCAATGGCATCTTTTCTCTCGCTCTCTCTCTGTCTCCCTCTAGTGTCTTTCTACTGTCACTGCACCTCGCCCTTGGTCCCAGCCCTGCCCCCAGGATACTGGAACGAATGGCTCTTCTCTCATTTACTCATTCACCAAACATTTCAAAGGATGTAGAAACCAAGAAGACATGGCCTGATCTCTAGAAATCACAGCTTTGCGGAGCTATCACAGTCCAACAGATACACGAAGAGCTTCCTCAAATCCCAAACGCATTGCCATGGAGGCACTTCCGATTCATAGCGTTTCTGAGGCCCGTATTCTTTCCCGGAGCAGAAAAATCTCATCTTTCTCCCAAAGAGCCACTGGTGGGTTTGAACTGCCAATCTTATGGTTAACAGACCAGTGTTTATCCTTGTTGCAGTTAAGTGTCATCAAGTTGGTCTGACTCATAGCGACTTGTATAGGGTTTCCAAGGAGCAGCTGGTGGGTGTGAACCACCAACTTTGTGGTTAACAGTGCAGTGCTTATCAACAACACCACACCAGGAATTCATGCTTATCCTACAGGGCCCTATAAACAGGGGCAGACCAGAAACTGGAGGAATCCTGAAGAGTGCTCACTGCAGTGGGGGGTCAGGAATTCTCCCCCGGCTGGAACCTCTGTAGCTGAAGAGGGTTTGAGTAGGGGGTCCCTTGGTGGAAGGTCAGCTGTGCGGAATGCTTTGGGAGTCAAGGGCAATGGTGGAAAATGAAGTTGGAGGACTGTCAAGACTAACCCCAGGCCACTAGCCAATTCCGACTCACAATGACAACAGGGTAGACCCTCGGGTTCCCTGGGCCCTAATCTTTATGGGAGCAGATAGTTTCACCTTTCTCTCTGAGAAAGGCTGATGTGTTCAAACTATAGATCTTTCGGTTAGCAGCCCAATGGGATGTTGTTATTGTTGTTGTGTACCTTCAAATAGTTTCTGAGAGCAGCTGGTGGGTTTTGAACTGCTGACCTTGCAGTTTTCCAGGACTCCAGAAGCAGAGGATGTCAAATCCCAGTTGCAGTCATTTGGAGGGCCTCCCGGCTGGATACAGAATCCATCGATTGTTTTGTCAATTCAATACTGGGTTCTCAGAGCCAGGAACGGGGCTTGGCACATAGTTGGTGCTCAATAAATATTGTAGAGTTTATTTAGAATAAGCAAATAAATGGTCAGATTTACATTTTAAAAACAGCAGGATTGACTGGAGAGGGCAAGATTGAGGGAGGTGGGTCTGTAAGGGGTGGGAGACTTGTTGGGGGTGGGAGAGAAGTTGCATCTACTGTAGGTGAGAAGGGGAGGGAGCCCCCCGGGATGGGCAGTGAGGGGATCGCGTGGGAGCATGGTGGGTAGGAGCAAACATGGTGCCAGGATTCTAGACTCAGGACTGGCTCGTTGTGGGACAGGTTGACTTTTACTTGGGAGGCTCCAGAGTGAGACCAAGCCTGCTTTTCCTGTTGCCCCACCCCTTCCTTCCTGAGGTCATTTTGCTGAACTTGAAGATCCTCCTCAGATCAGGAATGGAGCCAATGGCCACCTTGTGCATCCCTTCAGTGTGTGGGAAGACCAATTGGAGAGACAGTTGTGTGCTGTCTGCAAGCACAGCCCCAGTCTTCAGGGACATGGCTCCCTGCTCTCTCTGCACAGGACCAAGGACACACATTTCCTGTGTCGTGGCTCATGGGGAGACCAGAGCTGTGGCCCCATGAGCCACACTTCAGCAGAGGTGGACCCGGGCTTCTTAACTCATTCATGGGTCCCTTCAGAGTGTTTGTGAGGCCTGAAATCACATGACAGATTATGGGTCCCATGGACTCTTCTTAAGACAAGCATCCGGAGCCTTCACCAGATCCTTAAAGGGCACCTGACTCAAAACAGGGTCAAGACCCACCACTCCGCTCCATAACAACACTGGTAAGGTGTGCTCTCCATGGAATGGTTAAAGGAGCCACATTTACCTAAAGACAAAGTTCAAAAGAGTTGGCTAGGTGAGTGGGCTAGAAATAAGAGCTACAGGGAGGAAGTGCTCTACATGGAAGGGGTTGTAATCATGGATATGAAACAAAATGTATGACTTATTGAAAGTAAAACTGATGATCTGCTCTGTAACCCTTTACTTAGTTCACAATAAAAAGTTTAAAAACAAACAAAACCATGACTCTAGCCCATCATTGGCTGGTGCCCAGCTAGGGCCAGGTATGTTGTTCTTAAGTGTCATCCAGTTGGTTCCAACTCATGGTAACCCTGAACAGGGTTTCCAAGGAGCGGCTGGTGGATTTGAACTGCTAACCTTGTGGTTAACAGCCCAGTGTTTATCCTGTAGTGCCACACCAGGACTCCAGGGCCAGGCATACAATGTATCCTTAAAAGCCTGTTTATTGAACACTCACTTTAGGCAGCCACTGTGCAGAGCATTATTAAGAGAAGACTGAATTTAAATGTTTTCTCAACCCTGAGTTACACACTGGGCCAGGATTCAGCCAAGGGCTGGGTCCTAACCACTTTGAACATGCCACACGTTGTGAGGATTCTCTGTGTGTTGGATCCAGGGCTCTACCCCCCATTCACTGCTGAAGTTAAGCGGGGTCTGGCAGATGTGGGGTGTCCAGAGCCCCAGGGCCTTCAGGCTGTGAGAGAGGTCTTTTTGGTCTCTTAGTACCCTCCCCATCTCTGCTACAGGAAAGGTTTATAGATTCAACTATGGAGGCTGTTGTTAATGTTCAGGGCTGCTGAGTTGGTTCCGACCCATAGTGTCCCTGTGTAGGAGTTTCCAAGGAGCGGCTGGTGAGTTTGAACTGCCAACCTTGAAGTTTAAACCCACCTTGCGGTCTAGTGCTTATCCTACAGTGCCACACCAGGACTCCAAGCGTGGAGGCAGGGGGATGGATATATTGGGCTCTGGTTCTTTGGGTTCTGAGGAGTCTGAGCCCCGTTCATTCCTCAAAAGGACGGACCCCGGTTGGCCCTCTCACATTCCCCATGCCCCTCCCTGCCCAAGTCCACAGAGACCTGTTCTCATCATTTGCCATCCGGGCACCAAAGGTTTTATTAGAGTTCCATTTGTATCTGCCTCACAGAGAGAGAGGGAGAGGGAAATGGAACAGAACCCAGATGAGACCCCAGCCCCTCCCCCCACTGGAGCCCAGGGCATCTGCCCCATTGGGCCAAGGAAGACTTTGTGAGATCCCTGAGGGCGCCAGGAGGAGGGACAGGGGGCAGCAGAAGGGGACTGGGGGCCACTGCTTCCCAGTTGGTGCCCCAGGTGGAGGCCCTCAGTCCAGATCCTACCCTTTCTTTGAGGGCTGTACTACCCCTTCTCTGGGGAGTCTTGGCTGAACACGTCCCACCTAGCTCTGAGGAGGAGGTGCCCCTTTGGGCAGACTGCTGTGACCTTGTGTGGCCATCTGCCCATGTCCCAGAATGCTGCCCTCTTCTCAGGCGGAGGGAGGTCACTGCTAACCTGCCTCTCCCCGCTCCCTCCATCCCCTTGACCTGCCTGGTCCCAGATTGCTTCTCCTTCAGCAGATGGGTCCCTCCTCCCCCTGCCTCTTCCCTCTTCCACCTTCTGACCTGAATCCCTTGGACTTCAAGTTCAAGGTCAGGTGCAGCTGTGGTTGGTGTACCCCGCCCCTTGTCATGCAGAAGGTCTGGCTGGTGTGGTCCTGACCCAGGTCCTACCCATTCTGGCCAGGAATGGGATGAAGCAGCTTGTTAGCCTTGGTGATGGTGCCCCCAGGGGCAGGCCCTTCCTCCTTCTGACCACCACCTGGTCTGCCCATTGACAGAGGGGTGCTGAGGGCACTGTGGGGTGGGAAGGGAGGCTCCTATACTTGCATCTCCAGAGACGGTTGTCGGCAAACTCAGCTGAGGAGAAAAAACTACCATTCACCACCGCCAAGCTCAGCCTGGTGAGCTGGCATCAAGCAGAAGAGGGGCCGGGTGATCCCTGTGTTTGCAACGGCTCTTTGTTCCCTGGACCTGGTAGGTGGACAGGAGGTGGAGGTGGGTACCCTCTAAAAGCACCAGAATCTGGTTTGTCCATGTCTGTAGGGAGTCCCCCCTCAAGGCCTTCCCTGGTCCCAACTGCCCACATGCTGGCCCCGGGCCCTCTGTATAGCAGTGGGGGTGTAGCCCCCCCCAGGGTCTTGGGGCCTGGCTCCTCGCCTCTCCCTGGAACAGGAGGCAACCAAGCTGGGTCTGTCTGGGCTCAGAAGCCCCCGCTCTCCGAGCTGCTCCGACTGTGGTAGCTGGGACTGGGGGTCCGGGAGGGGCTGCGTGTGCGGCTGTGGGTCCCTCGACTCCGACTGCTGTAACTTTCGTAGTCACTGCTCACACAGCTGGAGGACGAGGAGGGGCTGGGCCGGTAGTAGGGGATAGGACGCTTGCGGGCACTGCCAGGAAGAAATGGCAGATTTACTGGGCATCCGGGGCCCCACACAGGCCCAGAGTTTCATTCCACCAGTGGCCAGGGCTCCCCTGCCTCATTTTCCCCTGAACCCTGGACTTAGAGAGCCCCCAGACAGGATGTAGTAGTCAGTGGCCACTTGCCAAATCCATGTGTTATGTTTTCCCTCCTCGCCTGTGTGCGGGAAGAGGAGCCCAAGTCTGTGGCAGGCACAAAGGAGGTGCTCAGTAAGTGTTGAATGAATGGAACTGCTCAACGCTGCTGCTGCTGACAACTCAGATCAGCAATGCTTGGCCCGGAAGTATTTGTGATGGCCCAGCCCTGTTCGTGAGCTTGGCAAAGTTTCTCTGTCTCCAGTGGAATTGTGGTTTTTGGTTTTCATGGTCATTTGAAGGGAATGAGGAGGAGACACCTGGCCACTGCTGTCCAAGCCCGGGACCCAGGCCAGCCCCATGGCCCTCACTCAGCTACTGCCCACACCCCCATCTGGGAATTAGTTTGAAGGCAGGAGGCTGTGACCCAGAGAAAAGAAAGATAGTGGTTAGGGGCAGCCATGTCCCATCGCATGGGGTTAATTCTGAGGAAGAAAAGAGGCAAAGGTTAGTGGGAGGAGGAGGCAGCCTGGGAAGGACTGAGGTGGGTGCCAGGTGGAAGGTGTGGGGATCTGGCTATGTTAGGACCTCCAGGCTAGGGGGTTGTTAAATGCTGTTGAGTCATAGCCACCTTGTATATGGTTTCCAAGGAGTAGTTGGTGAGTTTGAACTGCCGACCTTGAAATTCAAACTGACCTTGCAGTCCAGTGCTTATTCTACAGTGCCACAGCAGGACTCCAGGGGGTGGGCAAGGGAAAATAATACCCTTTCCTCTTCTAGCGATCTCAGAAGGAAAATAATACCCTTTCCTCTTCTAGCGATCTCAGAAGGAAAATAATACCCTTTCCTCTTCTAGCGATCTCTATCAGCAAGGTCTCAGAAGGAAGACTCACACCATGTTAGAGCTAAGATGTTCAGGGACCTCTGCTTATTGTATAGGTGTGATACTGGCGGTCGGTCCCGAGAGCCACCTCTAAGGATCGTCCTGCAAGGCTATGGTACAGCTGCATTCCAAATTGTTCCCTGTGGTCCTGTCCCCTACCCAGGGTCTAGGCCTTCAAACTGTAACCCCAGTCCTAGGCACACTCAACTGTATGTGAGCAAAGTGGGAAGGATGGTGTCTCTGACAGCTGTCCCCGCAAGACCAGGCTTGTGTGCCCCTCCTCCAGAGCTCCCCCAGGTGGTGGGGGTGGGGGTGGGAGAAGAACCGTGAGATTAGTGAGAAAAGGAAAGGCAGACAGACAGACAGCTGAACAGATCAGCTCACATGGCATCTCCCGGAGGCCTGTGGAGAGGGGGTCCACCTGGCCCCCAGGCTGGCCACAGGCCACTCAGCAGGCTGGACCTTGAGATGAAGGAGAAAAGGAGACATCATTGCTGGGAGCTGGAAGTGAGGGAAGGAGGGGCTGGAAGTGTGGCTGGAATATTCCAGAACTGAATTCATGTCTGTCAATGCCCATCCAGACCCAAACCTGCCCCCTCCAGGCACCTTCAAGCCCTCACTGGGGACCCTTCTTTTCACCTCACCCAGCCCACTCCCACTTAGGAGTCTCCCACTCTGGACACCTCCAGTTCGGAGCGCTTCCTCCTATTGGGTTCTCTTCCCTTCCCTGTATCCCACTTTCCTGTACCTCTCCTCCGCTCCTTGACACCTCTTCCTTTCCTAGACATCCCCCCTCCATTCACCGAGGCTCCCCTCCCTTCCAAGTCGGTTCTTCCAAGAGGTATTGCAGGCCTGGAGGACCCTTGGCCCACAGCTGCCTGGGTCATTGTCCCGGGTCACGACCTGGGCCCGTTAGGCGCCCCATACCTGGTGATGCGCCGTGGCTCCATGAAGCTGGGCGAATCCCGGCGCCGTTTGCGGATGGGCGAGTAGCTGCGGGAGCGGCGCCGAGCGCGGGCGGCCTCGGCCTCGGCTTGCCTCACGCGGCCCTCGGCGTCCTTGTCCCTGCAGGCCGGCAGAGGTGAGCGCTCCCGGCCCGGGCACCCCGCGCGCTCCCGGGCCTCTGCGGGGCGGGGACCCCCGGGCACTCACCGGCCAGCAGCCTTCTTGGGCGACGGCGAGCGGCTAGCGCTGCGGGTCCGCTTTTCCGCTGATCGCGAGCGGGACTTGGAGGGCGAGCGGCTGGAACTCCACGAGCGGGGCTGGGCGTCCGGGCTGCGCGACGAGCTCTTCCCCTCGGGGCCGCAGTGCCGGCCGTGAGCGCCCGGGGACGGCGAGGGACTGGCGGGCCGGGTCCGCGCCGGCCGCTCCTTCGTCCTGGAGGGAGGGGCGCGGTGAGGGCACCGGGAGGGGGGCACTAGGGGAAAGGGATTTGCAAGGGGGGCCCCGTGAGGGGGAGACTTGGTGGGGTGAGAGGGATCAGGGATAAGTGAATGGAAGAGGGAACTAAATGGGGGGGGGGCAGAGGGGTCAGGGAGGAGAGGGGTTTGTTGGGGGCAGATGGGCCCTTTGTAGGGGCAGAGGGGTGCCCAGTGGAAGCAGAGTGGGGAGAGGAGGGGAGAGAGAAGGGGGCTTGATGGAGGTAGAGGAATCAGGAGGGGAGGGTGACTCATGTGGGCAAAGGGGTTAGTGAGGGGGGCTCTTTGGGGCCAAAGAGGTGGGGGCCTTAGTAGGGACAGAGGGGCCAGGGAGTGGGGCTCGGTAGGGGTGAAGGGGTTCTGTTTGGGCAGAGGGGTCACGGAGGGGTAGAGGGACTAGGAGAGGAAGGGGTTTCGTGGGAGCAGAGAGGCGGGGCAGCGGAGACAGAAG